AAAGACCACCGGAAAGATTTCAACCAAGGGCTCCGGCAAATCGTATTCCACAGCACCCCGCCCAGCATGGGGTACAGAAGTGGTTCGTGACGGGCAAAACAAAACAATTTGCTTGAAGTTTCAACAGAAGACCTGTGCCAATCCTAAGACCTGCAAGTATGAACATGTTTGTGCGATTTTGAAAAGTGATGGCACTGTCTGCGGTCAGAAGCATAGCGCTCTGGACCACCGCTCAGCTCCGTTTTGACGGGCCCTGCGTGTTCCGAAAGGGACACAGACACGTCTAGGGTCGTACCACATGTCCGTATCCCTCCGGCCAGTGAGGACCCTCAGCCACTTGCAAGTCCTCCTCCTCCTAAACTCGTTTCACCGCAATCCAGCCCAGGTGCACATTTAAACAGCGCCAGGCCCTCATTTGTTTCTCGATGTTTGCAGCGGGGCTCAGGCTCCCTTGTCCGAAGCCCTTTTAGGTTTCGATCGTGCCGTTTTGCCCATCGACATTTTAGTATCACCTGAGATGGATCTTCTTAATGACCTGTTTTTCGAAGAATTACTCCGTCTTTGTGCTTCAGGTCTAGTTGCGTATTGTGGTACAAGCCCACCATGCAGTGAATTTTCTTTGCTAAAACTTCGCTCTCCGGGCCCCAAACCCATTCGGACGTACGAGTTTCCTCTAGGTATCCCAGATCCCAACCCTCAGGAAACACAGCGATTGATTCTTGCAGCACGTGCACGCAGCTGGCGGTCATGGACACTTGGAAGCCCCACCGAATGCCTTCACGTGGTATGATCCAGTTGTTAAGTCGTGGCTTCATCAACAGCGGTGTCAATGCGTAGTGGTAGCAGCTTGTTCATTTCACATGGATATTTCCAAGCATTGGATGTTCGCATGCAGTCATGATTGGTTCTGTGACATGGCTTGCGCATGTACTCACTCCACTCATGCACCGTACGCAGGCCTCAAGGATTCCTCGGGCACTTACCTCAGCCGACGAACAGCCGAATATCCCAAAGAATTGGCACAACAACTCGCCTCACGTTTGAGCTCCCGCATTGGGCCCAAGATTCTCCAGTTGACTTTAACCTCAGCCCTAGCCATGATCCCCATTAAGCCCCTACAGGTAGCCCCACACGCCCTCCATGATGGAGGCGGTAAAGGTAGTCAACAGGATTGGAGCGCACCTCCCAATACTGAGGACGTGTTGAAACCACTCAGGGATAGCTGGATCAATCTGATCCTTGAACAAGGCCTCCATAAAGCCTTCCTGGCCCATGTGGAACAAGCCCAATCCACTCTGCCTTTCTCGGATGAGTGCATCGATCAGTTTCGGTCCTCTCTTTCTGCTTGGCTTCCAATGGATTGGTCCATCCGAGATGACCAACCCATGCATCTTGCAGCCATGCAAGCCCTCAGCCACCGGCTTCATGATCCCGATAGTGAGGTCTTCACTAGCCTCATCGCAGGAGTCTCAGCCGGCACGGCAGATGACCCCATTTTACCCAGTCGAGTGTTTTGGGAGAAAGATTCGGTAGCTGACCATGATCTTCCTGCCCTTCAAATTCACAGAGATAATTGGAAATCTAGTGAGGATCATCCAGAATTAACAGAAGAGCTCATTCAGAACGAAATTGATCAAGGGTGGATTTTCCAGTTTTCTGGGGACGAAGCGGAAGCTCAGAAGCAATACCCCCACGGAGTCGGCCTCGGTAAATTGGGCATCGCCTTCTCAGATTCTCGACCTCCTCGACTGGTTTTGGACAGTAGCATCTGTAAGACCAATCAAAATTGTTGGATTCCTGAACGCCAGTGCTACCCATCCGCTCGAGATGTTGTTGAATCATATCCCCTTCGCCATTGCACGGAACCTCAGCATGCAGCCACGTTTGACGTGAAGTCAGCTCACAAACGCATCGTTCTTGCTCCACGACACCAAGGCCTAGTAGGATTCACCTTCAAGGGCACTATCTACTTTTATCGGGTTTGTCCTTTTGGGGCCACGTTCAGTGCATTTTGGTGGGGCAGACTAGGAGCTTGGCTGGTGCGCGTGTTTCACCGCCTGATTTGGGTCCAACATGGCCTGCGGTTGTTCGTTGATGACTTCTTGTTGACTCAAAGCAAACAAGTCTTACCGATCTTTGCCACACTCCTGGCTATTTTTTGTCAGGTTTTTCGCATTCCTCTTAGTTGGCGCAAGTGTACCCTAGGTCCAATGGTTGATTGGATTGGATGGCGCTTTAATTTCTTCAACGGAATCGTTTCTTTGCACCCGGACAAGCGCAACAAACTGATTGCGTTGATCCACGACTTGCTTGCTCATCGTCATTGCACTTGCAAACAACTGGAAAGGTTCACAGGTTTGGCGCTGTGGGTCACCCATCTCTTTTTGCCTTTTCGTGCCGTACTCCATTGGCTGTTCTCAGACTTGTATTGCTGTCCTGCAACTCACTACAGTGTCAACCCAGGATCTTGGACAGTAGTTAAATCGTGTCTAGCCGACGACCTGACCTTTGTGTGTACACCCACAGGCACAGCAATCCCAAAGGGATCCAAGCTCATTTCGATCAGGCATCATTCAGTGCAAACCTTGCAAGAGGTAGAATCGGTTCGCATGACGGACCGTAGACTGTGGCTTCGGATTGTGAACCCAAACTCCCAACAGCGCAAGCTGTCCGCTCACAGTCGAAGAGTTCTTAAGCTGTGGTTGCAATGGCTCACAACCTGCCCCCCACTCCGCACCATGCGCCCGCCGGCCCAGGTGTCAGTTAAAGCATCAGCAGATGCCTCAGCCCAAGGGGAGTTTTTCCAGATCGGTGGATTGATAGAAGCGGGTACCACCATCCACTGGTTTGCTGAAAAGTGGTCGGTGGCCGATATCACCAAATTCGACATTCCAGTTCGTTCAGATGCCCAAAAAGACATTGCTTGTTATGAAACTCTCGCCCAAGGATTTCTAATCTTTCTTTGTCTGGCACTCTGCCCAAATGTTTGTGTTCCTTTGCACTTTCACAGCTTGAGTGATAATGTGGCCGCCGAAGCAGCTGGCAACAAATTGTTCACAACCACCGCTCCATTGTGCTTCTTTGTTGAACAATTGGCCTCTATCCTAGTGTCTGAAGGCATTAGTTGTGACATATCTCACATACCAGGCCCTCTGAACACTGATGCTGACTTGCTAAGTAGATGGGACTTGACTTCCGAGTTGCCTTCCAAGTTTGATGCCGCGCATAGGCATCCAATGAGCCTGGATGCATTCTTTCGGTCTCACCGCCGACTCACTCTTCACCCTTCGGGTTTTCAGCTCCAATGGCCTCTTGGCCCTAGCTAAAGCATTCTTCGCTGTCAACTTCCACTCAGTGCCTCTGGGTTTTTCTGTTTATCCGAGTGTTGTTGGTATGCGAACTGGTGAAAGATCGCAACAACTCTCTCATCCTTGGCAGTGAAAAATGCTTGCGGAGTTCGAGCGAGGGAGTGAGCGAGAGAGTGAAACTTTGTTTGTTGCTTATTTGGGGAACATTGTAAGTATCCTTAGAACGTGGTTGTGACACTTCACTTTTTTTTTGGTTCTTACATGTTCGATGGCCATTTTGGTTCTAAGGTACTTCAATGTTCAACCCCTCCCACCACAACCCTGTTAAAGCTTCATTCCCTATCATGCGAGCAGACATCTGATTCATCTCAAGGATGTCTCACCAGATAGTCACCACGACTACACCGCGACGGTCACCATGACCATGGGACGGTGAAAGATCCCAACAACTCTCTCATCCTTGGCAGTGAAAAATGCTTGCGGAGTTCGAGCGAGGGAGTGAGCGAGAGAGTGAAGCTTTGTTGCTTATTTGGGGAACATTGTAAGTATCCTTAGAACACTTGTTTGCTTGTATAATGGGCGTTTTGTTTGTCGCTGCTGGCTTGTCCCCCCACTTGTTTCCCTCTGCTCTGTTTTTATTTGGCTACTTGACTTAGTTGATTGTTGTTTCAGGTGCTCTTGTCTATTGAGTTAGTTGCTATCTGGGAGCTGTGCCGTAGTAGGTAGTAGTAATAGGTAGTAGTCGGCAATAGTCGGTAGTGGTGGTAGTAGGTAGATGTAGGTAGTAGTACGTAGGTAGCAGGTAGTAGGTGGTAGTAGTAGCAGCAACAGTAGTCGTCGTCGTAGTAGTAATTCTAGTCAGTTCACTGGTCAGTAGTCAGTAGTACTAGTACTAGTAGTCGTAGTAGTCGTAGTAGTAGTAGCAATAGTACTAGTACTAGTAGTAGTAGTAGTAGTAGTAGTAGTAGTAGTAGTGGTAGTGTAGTGGTAGTGGTAGTGGTAGTGGTAGTGGTAGTAGTACTAGCAGCAGTAGCAGTAATCGAGCTCACCAGATGGCTAGACCACAAGCACAGAAGAGCGAAACCGAATGGCAGTGTAGACAAAACACATCATAGAAAGAGAACAAACTGCATCGCGTATGCTCCGCGTAGGCATGTTTGACGGACCAATGGTTTGCGTAGGCGCATGCTGTGGAGGCATAAGATTGCCTAGGATCCTTGCGTAGGGGCCCATGCAAAGAAAAACTTTACTTAATTGACATCGGAAATGCCTTTCAAGGTCTACATGTTCATGTTCAAAAATGTTTCGCTGACTGTTGAACCAATATCCAAGGAACACTCGAGGCACCAGCATTGGTGTTTCGTGCATGTTGGATCATTTTGGGCCAGAATGTTGATCCGACAGGAACTGCAGAATACCATATCCAGAGCCAGAGTTTTTTGATTTTGTGACGTTTTGCAGTTTTTAGCTTTGGGATGTCTTGGGATGTTTTGTGAACCACTGGTTACTAATTACCAGCGAACGGTCGTGGTCTGGATCCCCGATGATATCACACTCCAGTTCTTGCTGCCTCAACCGGGTTCTCTCCGGAGAATTAGGGCGCTGGATTCGTTCAGCTGCAGGATCTGTGACCCTTGAATCCTCAATCCATCAGCCTGCCCCATGTTGTTTTTTTTCCACTGTTTCTGCAAGGTATGCGCCAGATGAGGAGACGCGTCGTCGGATGGATTGCCCCCCCAAACCCCGGTACTACTGTAGCAATCCAAAAGGAGCAGCTAGCTACAGACACGTTTGGTGTCCAAAATCAAGTGAGGGACAATGCCTTCAATGGATGTACCATCACGAAATCCAAATCCGATCTCTGCAGGTGTTCTAAGTTCTGTGGGACCAATTGATCCCGATACCATTGCCTTAACCTTCCAACGATGAAGACGCTGTCATGTCCAAATGACAGTCGAAAGACTGCGCAGCTGCTAGCCTAGAGATGATGTGGTGAGGCATGTTTTTTGGTATAGTACACTTTGAATGCGACAAATGTGAATAATTTGAGGGCATTTCCCACATACAATTTGCTGGATTTGCTGCTGGAAAACAGGTGTGCATCCATGTGCATCCATTTCTTAATGTATTCAACGTCAATTAGTTGGATAGTGTTGAATTTATTTTGTTTAATCCAAGATGCATTTTTGCATGGCAGGCTTTGGAGCTGAAACTTCTTTGGCGCCCAACATCCTGCAGTAGGGTTCCAAAAACTCCGTTTGAATCTGTCTTGGCGAATCAACTGGATGGTCAGAAGGTACATGTCCAAGCTGTCTCAGGGTTGTTCAGATGATTCTTCTCCGGCCGACCGGAGCTTCTCTCTAGGACTGCTGCACGCAGTTCATTTGGGACCCGGACAACAGGTGCCCAACTGACTCCTGACTCAACCGTTGAGTGGGTCGTTTCTGCCAAAGATGTGCTCCACATGCAGTTTCCTGGGTGCCAAAAGAGTTGCAACATATGCCAGACCTGCCACCCGAAAGCAGTGGAGCTTTCCTTTGCATTTGAGAGGCCCACGTAACCCACCACCGCTTTTGTACCTGGCGCAGGTACCACACGGATCAGTACCTGAGAGAGAGGGCCTACTTCAACATTTCCTATATCAAGGTTTTCCAGTAGCTCTTTTTGTGTCGGTTGTTTTGCCTGGGATCCTTGTCGTGGCCTGTCAGAGGCTTGGTCGAGCTAGTTTGCAGCTAGCTTAGAGCTTTCCAGATGATGCTTCGCCTTCTCGGGAAGCATCTACCCTTGCAGATGAAGTTCGGAAGTTACACCGGACAACTCAGACATCTGAAGATCCAAGGCAAAGCTTTCAAAAGGCCTCCTGTGCCGCAGGGTTTGGGAAACTGAAGTTTCTTTGGACCACCCGCGCTGCTCAAGGATCCCAGGTTCAACACCTGTCCGACCGGACGGTCAACCGGACCTCCCGTGGCACCACCGGTCCCCTGCCCGGATCGCCGGCATGGCATCGGCGGCGAACCAGCGAAGCGCAAGCCAAGAGTCGCAGAAAACACCGGGAAGATGCGGGCGGGTGTGGGTGTGATGTTGGGAGTATACTCTATACTAGCAAACGACCTGTATTGAAGGGAATGGTTGGAGAATGTGGGAGCTTTTGGGCACAGCTTCAGCCCCCCAAGATCGGCGATCGGTCAGTCGGCGACGGTGCCATGACGTATCAGACGGAGAGGTCAACCGGTTGGTATCCTGTTGCCATGACCTACCAGCATCCCTTCCATTCAACCACGGGCTCACGTCGGCGAACACGTGGAACCCCCCCCCCACCAATGCGTTGTGGTCTATGTTCCTTCTTAGAGGGGTTCTTTCGGGGTCTCTCAATTCTAGACTTGAAATATGCTTTCACTTGTTGCAGGTCAATGCAGGTCAAGCAACTTCCTTACAAAGAGTGGCGGATAAGGACCTTCCAAGGTTTTTGTCATGTCATGTTGCAGGCTTTGGAACATTAGGGTTGCAGTGGTGATGATGTTGCAACTTGAACAGTTGCCTTCTAAAGTTACTTGTGGTAAACATCTCCCTGTAGGGTACCAACATCCACGGGGGGCCGGCTTGAGGCAAAGCCGGAAAGAATCCTGACCCAAAAGCTTAGGTGTTGATCAAAAGAGGCCAGGTAGAACCTGCGCAAAACTGGATGGCAAGAAGGTCCCCCCGTGGAACACTTCCATTTTGTGCTGCTTCTGTACCAAAGCTGTTGGATCTCCAATCGAGTCTGTCTGTTTTTGACCGAACCTTTGGACTTTTTCAGGTTGCCGAGATGTTGAGAATAAAGGTCCTTTCTATACCTGGACTCGTCCGAATAACATGGAACATGACCCTATAAAAGCAGGTGCTTGTACCCACGATCTCAGGCATTTTGAGACTCCAGGTAGGCGAAATCAGCAGTTCTAAAGCCGCCTTTGTTTCACGACCATCAGTTCCGGATGGGATCCTCGAGGATCCCCGCGGGAATTGGTTGCAGTTTCATAGACAATGACGGTTTTGGGATGTGCAAACCAATTCTTCAACATATTTGGCGTCCAGGCAGAGCTCATGTTCCAAACCCTCAAAACCCCTTGAATTCGTTGGTTGCTGGGGGGACTTCTTCTTGCTGCGCCCAAACCGTGGAGTACTTTCGTGTGGAGACGGGTCTGACAACGAATGTGGCCGCATGGCCGCGTGGCCAGGGCATGTTGAGCTCAGCGAAGGACATTCTAGGCCGGTCGATCGGGTGAAGGGATGAGCCTAGGATTGGAAGGACTTCGATGGGCCCTGGCGAAGAAGGAGCCCAGTACAGGAACATACTGTACCTGTATCTTCCTACTACGCAGCTATTCAGTCTTTTTAGTCATAAAACAGCAGCAGGAAGATAGAGGGTGATAACCAGTTGAGGAGTGGATGTCAGTTAAGAATCTCAATGACTTGACCTGGATCTTGCTCAATCAGTCACTGGACATGCGATCGCAACATCGAGCCTTTCTGCTCAGGATCCCTGGACACACCTGTCATTGGTTAACAAGGGCTCCCATCAGGTGAGCTGCTAGTTGGACTAGGTACTTACCCGCGGCCTCCGCGTTGGGGGTGGTCGTATCGCGCATGTTCGGAAGAAGCGGACATCAGGCACTCCGACATGGTCTTCATACCTCACACCCGTGCCACGCCACGCACACGGCTGGTGCCAGGCTATGACCTCTTAGAGCTTTGCTTGCAGGGCCCCGAGGCGCCCCACGGCACGCGACGCGGGACACCCGGCCGTTTCGGGATCGGTTCGCTTTCACCTGTGCCAAGCGGTGCCAAGCGGTGTGGGTTCACCTGTGCCAAGCGATGCCGCCCTTCGCGTGGCCAGGGCATGCTGACGCCCAAAGAACCATTCACCCTTGAGAGTCGAACTGGAAGCCCAAAAGTACACAACTTAGACCAAAACGAGCCCAAAACACCTCCGACTCGGGTCCTGCTCGGGTTCTGAAGAAGGGCAGCATCTCTTCCGTCCTAAGGCGAAGTTGGAAGAGACCCGGTACTGTCAGCCGGCCATGTTCGTGGCTGGGTCCGGAACTCTCAGAGAACGCCCGGGAGAAGGCGGTCGGAAGGTCATTGTTAGGTCTTTAATGTCTCATCATCAAGGGCGCGGGCGGTTGGTGTTTGGTTGAGGGTCAAGCGGTAAAACAAAAAAGATCAAACATGTATCATATGTTTGAACAATAGCATCATGGTCGCCCTTCGATGGGTAGAGTTTGTTTCCATCAAGAAGGTGCTTTCCACATTTGCCCTGTGCATTTCACAGGAACCAGAGATGACATAGGCTTGCCCTTGCTTCGTCCAGAAGGAACCACTTCTGATCGCCCAAAAAGGGTCAGGCTCCATGGGGATGTGCCGCTGCCAGCTCCCAACGTAGAACTCAAAGACCTTCTAGGAAGCTTGCCCATTGGCTTGCAGGATGTTCGTTGTTAGTATGATGTCCATGTAAGTCCTGCTTTTGGATAGGCCATCGTGGCACACGAAGATGATATATAGAATTGGGATAATGATAATGCATATATAGGTGCTCTTCCATATTATAAGATAACAATATTCCATCATTCTGATTTGGTTTCCCGGAATAATCATTCAGGAACTATTAGCAATGACCCAGCAGTGGCGCCAAACTGAACAACACAAAGTGTTGGAAGGACAATCAGGAACAGCAGCTGCAACGGAGTCCAGAACTGGAAGAGGCGGTGGGTTTCAGAGGGGCCCACGCTACAGAAATCGTGACCAGTTCCGGGCACAGTTGTTGACTTGTGGCCCTCAGGAGTGGAATGGGATCGTGAGGTGCCCGGCATTATTGATCGCAGGTGTTCTTGTCATATAAGCAACAGGAGGCATAGGAAGCCCCGAAACTAAGGAAGCAGAAGCTCCGCCCGTCGTCGGAGAGCAACTGATTTTCATGTTCCAAGCTTCGTCCCCTGTTCACATTGTAGACTCTTGATGAATAACACCCTGCCCATTTGGACTGTTCACACCTCTTCGTGCCTCTGGCGGGTTCTCCCAGCTCCGAGGCTCGCCGCAGTGGAGCAGCTGAAGAGCGACAAGAGCGACGTCCCCTGGACGTTGCTTTGGGACGCGCGCTCTCTCGAGCGCGGAGCAGGGGGGTGTCGTTCGTGACGTGACCGAGGCTTCTCCGGGCGTCGGGAGAGGGAGGAATCTCAAAGAGATTCCATGGGACATGTGCTTTTCACAACTAATACCCATACCAGGCCCCTGTAAAACGGGGTGGTGAATGCCTCGACCTCGACAAGGGGCTATGCTTACACACCCCAAACCGGGGGGGCCTGGTATATTCACTCCTTTTCCACCACCTTTTACTGTATGTAAAGTTTCAGACAGGTCCTTTCTGACAGGTCTGGTGGGGAGAAACAAAGAAAAAGCGGAAAAAAGGTCTGGTGACCCATGCTCTTGGCTTCTCTTGGAGTCTAGAAATGCCCACTAGAGTTCCCATCCACACTGGCATGTTCAAAACCCTTCTGTTTGAAACTCCAGGTCTTGATGTCTTTGTCTCCATTTCTTGGGGGTCCTTCTGGAAGGTCGTAGATGGTAACATCCCAATGGACCCGGACGTAGCCATACGAGGTTTGTCTTCTGTTTTTGGCAGCCCAAGAAGGTGGCACCTGCCACTCCTAACGCAAGTTGCATTCAGGTGTACTGAAGACAGGTGTTTCTGGATCTCCTGCCCCACAGGGAGGGGGGTCTCTCACTATCTTTTGAGGATGTGAGAACAGAGCCCTAGGGGGAACATGGACCTCATGCCACAGCTTGCTATGCCATCCAACCGTCTCCACTCAGCTGTCCGGCCAGCATGCCACCCGCTTCGAAGCTGCTGCTGGCTTATCCCTGGGTGCACCTGGCAACGGTTGGAAGGATCTCTTTCGCATTTGTGAGGGAAATGCCCGTGGGGCCATACTTGTAGTTGTTTGCCTGTCCAATGCATCCTATGACACAATCTCTTGGGTAACATGTTTAGTTTACTCCATTTTGGAGCTTGGAGGAATTGATTGCGTTTTGAGGATTTGCAGAAATAACAAAAAGGGTTGGACTCAAAAGTGTAGGTAATTCATTGACTGGGACTGGGTAGGTAGACTGTGGAAGGAGTTCACCACCTGTTTAGTCTTAAAAACGCATGCTCCGTCTCCGAGTCGAAGAAGCGCAACTGACTCCAGAACTTGGTTGGCTGAACATCTTGGCCGTTTCCGGATCCCACGGGCACCCAGACATGGTCAAATCTTTTTTTTGAGGTCTTTCGTATGGTTGAAACTGGTACATTTTTGTTGGAAGTGGTTTGTTTTTTAGCGTGGTAACATGTGGTAACTGAATTCATTTCGATCCGCTGGGGTTGGTGTTGACTCACTGCAGTGGTCCTCATTTCTCCATCCAATTCGGTATGTTGCCTGATTTACGGCTTTTCGTCCTGTCTCCCTGGCATGCCAGGTACATCTCAGCAATTTCCATAGCATCCCGAACACAGGGCTCCAGTAGGGCTTTCTTACATACACATCATACATACTCGTATGAAGGATTTTCTCCCAGGTGGACCCTGGTTGACCCCTTAAAATGAACAGATTGTTCCAGAAAAGGGAGGTCCAACCGTCCAACCTTTGGTTTTGGTGGGGGAGCTGTGAGGACCCCACAGCCCTGGCGCCATCTCTCCGCACCGGCCACGTGAACTCGCCAGGCGAGTACACCGCGCTGTGCGCGGCGGGTGCCTTCACCTTCGAGGACCCGGGTGCCCTGCACCATCCTGTTGTGCTGACCCAAAGGAAAGGACCGTGCGGAGCCACGTGGTGCGGCAGGTTGCAGCAACATCAACTATGGCACTTGAAGCCGAAGCCTTGACTTTAAACGGTCGTAAGTAAGTCAAAAATCTGTGCTAAGCAGTGTTGTGTTGAGTTGAAAGAACATGTGGCTACGGCAGGCCTCGTATTGTACTATATGAACCCCACCTTTGTCTGCAGGGTGCATGCTTTTGGGCAATTTAACGGCTATAGGTTGGGGTACCATTGCTAATTACTCGGTTGTCCGAGAAACCTTTCTCCGTTGGTGTGGTGTTTGGTCAGGAAGTTCCTTTACATGTTGTTTTTCGCAACTGTTTGCCGTGGAACCTGGATTTCACAGTTGCCTATGTTCTGCCATTCTGGGACCAAAGTCGAGTTGCTCGAGCTGAAGAGAGGCTCGGGCTTCTCCAATCCAATGAAGCGATGGGCGGCCTTCCTCCTCGCTGCGCAGCTCGGTGCCGCTGTGGTCTTGGAGGCGCCGTCTCGACGTGCAGCCAAGAAGACCTTGCCAAAGGGGCTGCTGAGGCGCAGAGCATTGCCGTGCCGTGCCGGTCGGTGCTCTGGGCCGAGTGAGGGAAGACCCAGCGATAAGAGCTGCAGTGAACGGTGCCTGACTGGTGTTTTTGTTGGGTGGACATGACTTGCATGATCCTCCCTTGACACGTGTCGCCCAGAAGAGTGCTTGAGTATTCTTTTTGGACCATTTCTTATATGGGTTGATCTACTGTAAAACCGAGGAACGACCGTATTCCTTGTGAGTCCTGGATCACTCTTGGAGCCTGGATAGGAAGACAACCAAGAAATCTTCACAAAGCAACTCCAAGCGTCTAATGGACATGGTCCAAGCATTCTCAAATCTACACCAGACCTGGAAAGTTCTTCTGAGAACTGGTTGAGCCAATTTTTACCCACAAAAAGGCACCCCAAACATTTTGTCAAAGAGCCTATATAGTCCTAGTTCCACTCCTCGTGACACCTGGTGGCATTTACCTGTCCACATAGGCGAAGTGATTGTTCACCAAGGGAACGCGGCTGTGGAATGCCCAACACGGTGGAGTCACCAGTTTTTGATCCATTGACCAGCACATACCCGCACTAGACTTCACAAGATTGAGCACCCAAAGAATATTCTCCCAAGGGACCGCAACCACAACAGCCTACCACCATGGGCCCAAACAAAAATATAAAAGCACATCCTAATATAAACATACCTGGACCATCCTCAAGCTGGGTGTCCAGCCACGGCTTTCTTGGGCAAAGCCGGAAATCCGGCTCCAGGGATGATCTGCAGGGCCCACTCTTTGTCCACATTCCCAAGACCGCGGGCCTCTTGGCGAACCGAGCTTTTTTGATGCACTGAGGATGAGGATGTATATGTGTGTGAACTAAGGTCTTGAGCTTGTGGTTTAACACCAAAATGATCCAATCTGAATTGTTTGCATGATTGAGGCAAAACGCTTGTTGCACAGAAAACGAGGGTGAACGGGGCTACGGGGCTACGATGGCTGCCGGATTTTTGGTGACAGTGATTGAGGTCCAGTGACATGCAATGATAGGCACGAAACGTTTCTTGGTGCCTGTGGTTGGTTCGTTTCTTGATAGCCGAGGTGTTCGAGCTTCTTCTATTCGGATAGATCTCCCTATACATGCTCTCCAAAGAACAAGAATCCCATGCGCCCCCCGTGCCATACCGGGTTTCTCTTTAAGGCACGTCCATCTGGAAGGCGCTTGGGCCCAACTATACCGACTCCGGGAGATATCCCGAGGCCGTCCGCGCGGATCAGGTGATCAGGGCCATGACCCAGCGCCACCGGTCATGGGGTGTTGGTTTCCCAGCTCAGAATGAGATCCAACAGCTTTAACCTGTAGCCTGATTGGTGTAAGCTGCGTATGTCCCAACTCCAGGCGCCAAGTTTCAGCTGCGTTCGTGACGTTTAGTGGAGCTCCGCCCAACACGTCTGACATGTCCAAGTTGCTGTCATACCGTCCAATCATTGAAGCGATGGCCCGGTGGAGGACCACTTTCCTCTACAAAGGGGGTGAACTCCACTTCCGGAATGTGAGTTCGAGATGAATGTGTTCAGGTCCTTTGTCACGAAAGGTAGCCCTTTAGGGGATACCTTGAGTTTGTCTTGCGAAGCAAGTGTTGGGACGTCCGGGTCTAATAATTGATCGCTCAATTCAGACCCCCCCCCACCCCCCCCCCCCCTTGGGGATCTTTTTTCCAATCCGGCCCCCCCCCCCCTCCCCCCCTCTAAAATCAATTCTCTCCTGGAGATCGTCGTCGTGAGCCTCTCATGATTTCAGGATAGTTGAAACCCTCTTGAACATTCAGAAAGAGTGAATATGAAATTCTAATCACGAAAGGTGTTCCCCGAGGGGATACATACCTAGAGTTTGTTTTGTGAAGCACGTCAATTCTCTCCTGGGGAGCGTCTTCGTGAGCCTCTTATGGTTTCAGGATAGTTCAAATCCTATGATGTTCCGATTCAATGCTCACCGATGATCTGAGCCATGGGGCAAGTTTGTTTTCCTAAGAATCTTTTTGAACATTTCGAGAGCACATGTTTGAACATTTAAAGTGCATATGAACATATATTTACGAAAGGTCGCCTCCGAGGGGATAAATCACCATGTCGAACATTGCATTTTTGTTCCTGCCTCTCGCGTTCTCTTCTCTTCCCGCTGTCCTACCTTTCGTGTCTCCCTCCTCTCAAGTTGGATGTATTGGATTTACAGTCCAGACTCTATAGATCCATTCTAAGATCACAGCGGTGGACCATGCCGAACCCACAGGTCTCGTTCTTCTGCATGAAGCACAACCCACCGAAGGCGCGGAGAGTGGTCTGATCATCGATGTTGCCAACGAACCGCGTAGAGGAAGGATCCCAACTTGCCACCGGAAATGGTCTCGAGACCTTCAACTGGGTCTCCCATGTGAAAGAGAAAACGTTCCTTCCAAGTCATGTCATGCTTGCGCAACCACTCCGTACTGTTCGTCTTTATGTACTAGTACTAGTAGTCGAACCGGCATACTCTATTTGCTTGCTTGTCTATCATCAGTATTCGCTGGTGAACGAGATAGAGCCCCCACACAAACGATATACTTTTGCTTGATGACACTAGAGTAGTCTGAACGAGATAGTGTGATTTGCTAAAGTAGTCTGAACGAGATACTGTGACATGACCTCCTACTTGAGTATAGGCTAAACGAGATAGGGCACCCACAGATAGTGTATTTGAGTTTAGTACCAAATATATGCCGCCGCACATATAGAAAAATCATGAACAATGAAATTAGATCACTGTTTTGCAGTATTGTCATTTGTTGCTTAAATCTACTACACTATTTCACAGATGCAAGGTACCTTATACTGTACCAGAGATACCACAATTCACATATTCTGTGTAAAGTGTAAACTGCAAGCCACCTTGTATCCGACGAACCCAACCAAAGACAAACATTTGGGTGCTGGAGAATCCGAAAGTCTCGACCAAAACAGCAAGTTTTGGGCTTGTTTCAAGATGACTCTCTTGGCATCAGGAGATGTTCAGAGGAGATGTTCAGGATGGAATCAGAGGAAAAACACGACATGGACTCGGAAGGTCTTTTGTTCGTGCCTCCCGAAGAAACCAGACTGGAGACTGGAGCACGGTGTCATCCATCCGCCAGGAGCATGTCCCTGATAGCTGGGCGGTGGTCCGGGACGTGTGCGATCGACTGGTCTCGGAGTTCGCATGGGCGCGGCTACAGGGATGGTACCAACGGCATCTTGGAGCAAACAAACATGCTGTCTCGGATGTTTTTGCTGAGTTGAGAACTAGGCTTTTGGAGGTGTGTAGAGGAAAATGCCAATTTTCAGATAGATGTTTTGTTGAGCCATTGGAGTCTGGAGCTTTGGGTTTTTGGAGGTTTGTAATTGGAGGAACATGCCAATGGTTTTTGGATGCTTCACCCTTTCCGGTTTCAATTGAATCGAAGCAATAGTTCATGTCCACAGGGCAGCCACACTGTTAATGCAAGAACTGCTGCATCACCTGGAACCATCAAAACACCACAGATTGTTTCCATTTCTCAAATGTTTCAACAAATCCACCGGAGCTGCCGCCTAGCCCCGCCTGCACCGCAGCGGGGCCCAGGTACCGCAAGGAAGGCTTGGACAATCATGCTGAGCCCAACTGCACCACCTTCAACAAGTGGGTGACTTTGGTGATGCAAAAGTGTCTTGGAGAAAAGCATGATAGAATCGTTGACCCCCATGTGGGGTTGTCGTGAGGGTTGGCGCCAAACATGTTGGCTGGAAGGCCATTGGGCCATGGGCCATAACTTTTTTTGCAAACTCCGATCTGTTATTTCTTTTCGATTGAATTTGACATCACCATTCGCTTGAGCTTTGATACCATAATGCTGCCCAGAAGCTGAGGGCGATGAGACACGAGGCTCCAGTCGCAGAGCGAAAATGTGTAGGAAACAGTTCCCAGCTTCTGTTGATGTCACAGGTTTTTAGGATACGCTGCTGAACACCACTCGTAACATAGACCCTGAAAAACACTGATTTGTAAAGATTCTTTTTTTTTTCCACTGGTCAATTCTCAGGTTCGATGTTAGTGTTCGGGCGTGTAAGCATTGGCTTGGTCCAAGCCAAAGATGTTGGATGCCCCCCCAAAGATTTCAAGAAAACACCTCCCGCCCGACAGCAATGTTGCCATGTTGCCTGCTGGCATCTTCCTTTTAGACCAGGGATTCAGAGATCCGACCGATCCATAGGTTCCATCGAACCTGCCACCCCCACCAGTGGGGTCCTACCACCACCTCAGCGGCCGCAAAAGACCGATGGTTCAGCGAGTTTACGAGGTACCAAGAGGATTCAGATGTGGAGGACTGCCACTTGATCCCACAGTGGTGCCACTCGGCAGCCCGAGGTCCCGTCGCAGCGGTGAGTAAAAAAATTCGTACGCGTACGGAACCCGGTGAGGTACGGAAGCACCGGTTTGCAACCCGACCGCTGCGGGAGGGGCGGGTCCATGCAGCTGAAATCGGCTGATTTGATGAATTGATGGGCATCTCTATGGGCCCAGTAAGAGCCTCTCTTTGCGGAGGAAACTGCCTTCGTCTAACGGGTAATTATGTCACCACCTATGTCGGTCGACTGAACGGACAAAAGAGATAATCAGAGACCCGCCCAACCCCCTGAAAATGCTCGCAAGAGGGTGACCAAAGTGGATTTCCAGACAGAAGATGTTTGCTTTACTTGGGTGGCCATCTGGGAGCTGCAATATAAAAAATGTTGTGGCAGCAGCATTTTCTCCGTAGCCAATGGCTGTTGAGCCAAAAATGTTGTGCAGCTGTTGCTGGAAGCTTAAAACATCTTAAAGCATTGCAGCTGAGAAGGGCTGCTTGGAAGCTGTTTGTTTGTTGTCGGAAGCTGCAGCTGAAAAGACTGCAGGCCATGTATCCCAATGTACACTGACTGGTTGAGACCAGGGCAGGCATTGCCAAAAGATTTGACCAGGAAATCTGTTTCAACCCATTCAAAGACAAGCCAGATGGATTCTGGAGCATGAGTTTCTTCGGTGTGTTTCTTTGTGCCTGGCTTTGTTGCCAACTTTGTTTGAGAGATTTTGACAGTAAGAGTGCATCACTGGAAGAACACCTCCCGCTTTGGCATTCTTCGTCATTCCTCCTTTCCTCCCTCAAGGATCCCCGAGGAGCTCGGTGTCAAACACGGAGCTCGCCTTAAAGGTGGCCAAACACGCCCGTGGCCCTTCTGTTCGACCGAGGCTATGCCTCCAAGGTGGACAAGATCCTCCCTTTAACCGAGCACCTGGTGGCTCGGCGGCAGTGAACCGAGTCGGACGGCAGCGGGAATTCGGTCCGGTGGAGTCGTTCTGAACGACTCGGCGGAACGTGTGTGACAAGACTTGGCGATGGATGATGGATGCCTTGTTGATTTCCTTTTGGGTGTGTGGTCATGTCACCCAGATACCCCGAAACCGATCGGTGAACGTCGGAGCCCATGTTGATTCACAACCGCGGACTCAAGGGGCTTGGATTTGTTCATGCTGGGAAGACACCAAGGTTTTCCATGTTCAAACACCATTTCAACCATCTTGCAAGGGCAACATGTTGCCTGACCAGTATAGTATATAGTATAGTATAGTTGTCCCACATCCCATCTATGACCCAAATGACCCATATCGTTGAATAAGACTCTTCACCAGCTCCAGAAGCTGCTCCGATCAAAGCTTGGCATCACCAGTTGAGATGCTATAAATCATGATATTGGGCCTGTCCTGTTTGTCCTATTACCAGTCACCTAAACGTAAACAATATCACACAATCACTATTTCCGAGAAAAAGCCTTTACTAACCATCATCATCCACTGTTACATCGGATAGACCTCGTGACTCTCTCCGTCCAAACGGGGGGACCGTTGGGGACCGAGATCCGTTTCGGTCCCAAGCGGTTCGTCGCGCGGGTCGCCAGGTCAGCGTCGGTCAGGTCACGCGGGTCGCCAGGTCACCGAAGTGGTCACCCTGTGCGACCGGTTCCAATGGTCAGAGGTCCTTTTTCCCTTTTGACACCGTCCGACCTCAAAGCGAAAAACGAAGCGTTTGGTGAAAAACGAACCTCGGCCAGGTGTTTTCCTTGTTGCAGGGGATGCTTGATCAGAGGGAAATCACCAGGTTGCTTGAGCCGAGAAAAACGACTTCCCAGCATTGCCAATTTCGGGTGATTGGATGTAAATTTGATGTAAATGACAGATTGTCTATTATTACTATAAACCGCTCAAACTGGGTGGGATGGTCTGGGAAGTTTGCCGGGCTGCATTATTTTAATTAGTTTCCTCGTTTGGGTGATTTGAAATTTGATTTGATGATTGGTAGGAAAGACCGGCACATACCGCACTCAGGCCGGGAAATACATGGAAATACCAACAACCAATGGTGGTTTGCCAGACATTGGCTAGACCAACTATAATATAGATTGTCTCAAAAATGGTCAAACAGCCCATGGCAAAGAAAGCCAAGGAAAGGGACATCCGCCAGATGGACCCACGCTTGAAGTATGTGGACCTGCACCACAAGAATCAACACTCTCATGTGGCCACTTGACAGCGTTGAAGTCACCGAAAAGCGAGGGGAGTCCGGTTGAAGCCAAAAAGTGAAAAACTCACACTGAGACCCTATGAGTTCCAACGATCTCACGGTGCCCGGACGCTGCAAACAGCCCGACGAGCTCCTCGAAACATCTCGAAACCTGTTTGACCTTAGCCTCAGACCCCTCCATATGAGAGTCTAATCCTGTCCATGAGGCAACATTTTCCTGGCATATACGTACAGATTGGGTGATGTTTAGCTAGCGGGCTGAATCATGTCTTTGATGTTGTCACACATTGCGTGAAAGTCGGGACCTTTCATTGTTTACTGTACATAGCAGCGCTTTCTGATGTGCCCTCCGTGGCAACATCTCATTGCATTGCATGTGTTCATGTTGCATGTTTTCTGAAATTACCTTGTGTTTCCGATTTTTTTCTGCTCGCTCTTCGGGATGTCCATTTTTGCCTATAATATCACCCAAGAATCTTATCGACATTTGTCCGCCTTATCTACATCTAATTCTTCATGCTTCTCTCATCATGCGCGTCAGGCGCATCTTCGACCTTTGGGTTGGGGTGGGGGGTGGGGTGGACATCACGTACGCTCCGTGATGTGCAACGTCATCGGCTTTTTTACATCATGCATTTTGCTGCATCATGCATTTGTACATGCAAAAAAAGGGAAGACCCCCTCCTGTCCAACAGAACGTCGTCCCTTGTTGCCTTCTTCCCCTCTTGCCCTCAATTGGCCCACTACCTGACCATCCACTCTTTTCCATTAAAGGTAGGGTTTGCAGCATTCCACTCAAACACATGTACCCAGACCTCAAACTTTGATCGGAGCGCTCCTTTCAGAACCTTCATGTTCTCTCCGGATAGCGGGCAAAAACACATCCACTTTTACGTTTCCATTTGCAACAGTACCAAGCTCAACAACCGCAATCACTTCCAGCTTCCGCGCGTCAAAAGCTTGCGATGTCAAACCTATGGATTCTCACACTCGCCTTGCTGATGGCATGCGACGCTGCTTCCAGCGCGTCATCACAGATATCGGGCAGGATTGCCGAACCTGAGCCTGAATGTGGGCCAAGCCTCAGCCTGCAATAGGCAAAATCAGCTGAGTAAACTCGCAAGATGCCACTGGCCACCTGGCCAGAGACAGCCTATGCAACAAAGATCCTCAGCTTTGCACAGTCTTGGAATCTGGTTTGGGTGTGGACAGTCCTGCAAGCTCAGGTGGGAGAGACCAAGGCCTCTACTCTACTCACAAGTTTCCGTTTGCACAGCAACAAGAAGCAAGGAACCGCCTAGGTGCTAGGCAGGTAGTCGTGGTTTGTCGGCTATGGTTGGATGAAGGCATTTCGCCACATAGCTAGAAACCTGATTGTGGTCTCCCGCAGCCCACTGCGGATCAATGCTGGCGGTGGCCGCGCTTGCAGAGCGCCTTCGCGACGGCGCGGCACTGGAGGGAGCTTTCTCTACTTGTGCAGCGAAGGGTTTTCGCTTTCTTGTTTTTGTGTGCACATGCAGGTTTTTGTTCCCCACCCGTCAGGTGAGGCTTGTTGGATTTTCTGTCAGCTCATGCCCTCCTCCTCCTGCTCCTCCTTCTCGTCCTTCGTGTCCTCAACCGCGAGCCTCAGCTGGTAGTGTTCCCCGTCGGACCTCAACTGCGAAGGTCGTGTGGCAGTGTGCCCCGCCGGACCGCAAATCCAAGCTGCACAGAGTGGCAAAGCTGTTTGGTCCGTTCCAGGAATGATGCCCTGGTTCTTGTAGTCCGGTGTTTCGAGATTGACATGTGGCTTGGTCAGACCACAGTCTTGCCTTCACCGGTGACCAAAAGGAGGGAAGCAACCTTGGTTATTAATTTGCTTCGCTTGGTCTAGAGAGTCTAGTGGGACGAAGTCCCAAGAAATCATCGTACAATCGTGGAATCTGAACACTTATATGATCTTATATGCATATGATCCCTGGAACAACCCAAAGTTGGTTAGATGTCCCATATAAAGTGAATTCAACCAGTCTTGTGTGTGTTGGCACTGTCTAAAATAATTGCGGTGGGAAACCAATTGTTCAACCACCTGGCTGAGCCATTTTTTCAGGTCAAGAAAATGAATGTCTCCTGTGGCTGCTTGACGCCTGCGAACCTGAAGGCTGCTGCTTGATGGAGACAAGAGAACACAACGGTTTGTTGAAAGAAAGGCTTCAACTTGGTTTGCTTGAGGCTGATGCTAGTGTGTCTTTCCAAGCACCTCAAAGTGCACCTCAACTGTTTTCTGTTCAGTTTAGAGGTAGCGAACCGTCTCAAAGCCGACGAATCTCTCTATGAAAGCTGGCAGTTACCCTTTGAAACAGAGGGAACTGGAAGAGTAAGTCACACCACAATTTGAGAGCTTCAGCCACACCATCCAGGAGCCACAACAAGCAAGCACTTTCACAGCCAATTTTTGCAGCTGCCCACATACTGGTACCTCAGACTGTGTGATTAGTAATAAATGTCTACAGTTCATGTATGTTCAATGTTCATGTTTTCCTAGCCCTTTGTGTTTTTCTTCCTCATACTGTAAGTTTGGTACCTCTCAGTGGTTCAGTGGTTGTTGATGCTGACCATTTCTTTGGACAGGAAGAAGACTCTCTACTTTGTAGTGAATGACTTGAGTGCATCATTCTGCCTTTTGGTTTGTAGGGGCCGTCTAGTGGCATGTGCCTTGATTGGCACGGTAGATCCTAGAGTCCTTGAGAATTATTTGGAAGATACATGTCACATTGACCTACACCAAAGTTCAGAGAAAAGATCACAGTGAGGCAAAGACACTATCACTCCACCCTTCACTTTGGGTGTTCCCATCCATAATGTAGACTCTTGACTAACGATCCCCCCAAGATATCCCAGACGAAGGGGGTGTTCAATCGAAATTGGGGAGTTTAATCATCAATATAGTCTACACTAGTGGTCCAGCCGCATCCAGCAATCAAGGTCCAGAGTCACTTCTTGGAAGACTTTGTTCATCTCAGGAGCGCGCACGGCGGTGCACACGTGCTGCCACTCCAAAGTATTCCCAGACACTTCATGTATCACATATTTGACTACATTCATCCCTGAAAGCATCCCAATGCAAATCTTCGAAACATGAAGTGTTTGGGATTGGTTACAGGAAGTACGTATAGTTGTTTTTTTCCAACGATTTGGGGATCTGCATCCCCAAGCAATGGGTTTCTGTTCCCTTCTAAGGGATGTGCATGGTCTCGGTCTTTTAAGATACACCACCATATCTATGTTGCTGACCTTGCGCGTTGGATGCGTGTGTGTGTGTGTGTCACCCCCTGTACCAAATGGTTCAACGCCACTGTTTTTCACTACAACCACTCAACGAGGCAGGGGGGCAAGGCCTCCAGCGATGAACCTTGTCCAACGAAGCTAAGTCGCTGGAGGGGAAGCACTGAGAGACGTCTCGGTGTGTACCTGCTGAGTTGTCCACAAGCTGTGACCCGACTTTTCCACGGTTTGATTCATGGTGGTTTCGCATGATACCTTCCCCACAAACAGGTTTTCCCACAGCCGCCTTTCAGCTGCCGTCCGCCGCTCGTCCGCTGCTGTCGCGAGTCTGCAGATGCGCACAAACCTTTTGTTGAAAACACCTTCAATTTGATCGGGCTCTTCACCTTGCCGTTGAGCCATTCCTTTTCTCGGGAAATTGAGTTAACTGAAAACCAATGTCAGAGTGTGTTTCGCTCAGCCGTCCCACTCGGGTGCTGAGTGTGATCCTCCGCAAGGAGGCGCCGTTTCATTTGGGAAATCGTGTAACTGAGCTTTTCCACCTTCACCGGAATCCACTACTGGCTCCACCTTAACTGAATTTACTGCCTCCACGGCCGCCGGGCCAAAAAACGGGACACCAGCAGACTTCACCCTGCATCATCGGGCTTGTATAAGCTGTGAACGTTGATTTTCGTGGTTTTCCTCCTCAAGCTGAGTGATTTGATTCATTTCGACCGCTTAATTCGACTTGCATGGACTCACCACCTTTCACACTTCCACAACTTCCACAAAATCAGGGACGCAACCAGCGCCGGGAGCCAGCGCTTGGCTCTGTCTGGGCTCCACTCAAGACTTCACACAATCCACAAATACACCTTTCCACCTTCGAGCGCTGATGCTGCTGCCACTGAACTTGTGAAACTCTACGTCCAAAAAGGACACGACTCAACAGCTTGCAGCCGGTTTTTGAAAGGAAAAAGCGCCGATCACGGCGACCTGTGTGTGTCACCCCCTGTACCAAAGGGTTCAATGCCACTTTTTTTCACTACAACCACTCAACGAGGCAGGGGGGCAAGGCCTCCAGCGATGAACCTTGTCCAACGAAGCTAAGTCGCTGGAGGGGAAGCACTGAGAGACGTCTCGGTGTGTACCTGCTGAGTTGTCCACAAGCTGTGACCCTACTTTTCCACGGTTTGATTCATGGTGGTTTCGCATGATACCTTCCCCACAAATAGGTTTTCCCACAGCCGCCTTTCAGCTGCCGTCCGCCGCTCGTCCGCTGCTGTCGCGAGTCTGCAGATGCGCACAAACCTTTTGTTGAAAACACCTTCAATTTGATCGGGCTCTTCACCTTGCCGTTGAGCCATTCCTTTTCTCGGGAAATTGAGTTAACTGAAAACCAATGTCAGAGTGTGTGTCATGCGTCTCGGGTGGGAGGTGCCTGGGGACTGATATTTGTACGATGTGAGGATGACATGTTCACAGAGCACCTTGCGAGGCATTTGCTGACCACCATACTACCATATACTACCATACACCCACGGACGTCTCAACCATGGGTTATCCGATGTGTTGTTTCTATATAGCTTGATCTTTTGTCGTTTGTTTCGGGAAACCACATCAACAAGCTCAATGACGGAGGCAGACAGCATAACAACACTTGTCAATTTGATACCTTCAACCAATTACAACAGCATAACAACAGCATAACCACATTACAACAACATTTGATACCTTCAACCTTTTCTTTGCAAAGACCTTGAATGCCCGTTGCTTCGTCGGACGAACCTTGGTGACGTTGGTGACGAGTGACCAGTGTCCGAGTCCTTCGGAGCAGATCGCACGTCGACTCGTCTTCCGAGATCGGGGCGATCGGAGGTATATTCCAGACAAGGCATGTATGTATATACTGTATATCCTATAGACATTGACATTGACCTCCCAAGGTAGGTAAATATTCCAGTTGTATGGAGTGTCTGGGGTATAGATCCTAATGTCTAAGACACTTGGTCTTGCGCCAGGAGCATCTTGGGTCCATCCAAGTACGAGCCGAAAGCTCTGAGCAATGCAAGCATCAAAGAATCGAGCTTCAGCTGAGTACGTCCGAGGAATGCCGGTCATGGTCATGGCCGGTCAAATCGACCCCTATGATCGACCCGGTGACTGGCAACCACTTGTTTTTCTCTTGTGAAACCAGCAAATACCGATGGTTTGGATGGTAAATCCCGGTATGGAAAGTGTCTCAAACACTCTGGCGGAAGGGGTCCAGTGGGGCGGAATGTTGGAGCATCGCATTCGCTCAATGTTTGTTCGTCTTGAGCTCAAGCAACACAAGATCAGCAACATAGAACAGCTAGAAGTGCAACCGCAACAATGCATGCAGATTATGGATTGTACATGTCACAAAAGTTTCTTGAATTTTGCAAAGAATTAAGAAGATGAAAGCCAGGGGAGAGCCTCAAGTCAACAGGAATTTGCTTGTAGGGCAGCAAGAAATAGTAGCAAAATGTAGTATACCAGTTAGGAATACTATGTCATACTACGTCCGTGTGTGTGTGTGTTTGTTTGTTTTTTGTTTATTTTTTTGTATTGTTTTGTTGTTTTTTGTGTTGTTGTGTTTTTTCTTGTATTTTTTGTTTGCATTTGTTATGTTTTTGATATATACTATCTTTTTTGTTTGTTTGTTTTGCAGCCTGTTTGAGTAGGACAATTTAGCTGGGTGTTTCTTTTTGCCTTTCTTGTTTCCTTTGATGACTTTTTTTGCATTGGTCTTGCATTTGTTTTTGTTGCAGGTTTTGCTGCGTCATCAGAACTAGCAAACGAATGGATATTCCCCGGCCCAGCTTGAGAGTTGATGTCTTTCTTCCGCAAGACCTCCACAAGTGACCTCCGGTGTTCCGGTCTTCCCAGTCTTCGATCCGATCGATCCGTCTTGAAAAGACCATCACGACCTGAAAACCAGGTTTGCAGAGCATGTTCCCATGTGACTTTTCGGGGCCATTGTAAGGATCCATGTGACTTTGGAGGGTATCCTCTCCAGAACATCCTGTCAATCACCATCAGCCACCGGCTGGGACCAAGCCTCGTGTAAACCGATTCAGGGACCAAGCAATGAAAACAAACTCATGCGGTTTTAACGTTGCGATGCTACAAGAATCCTTGGGCCTGACCGCCTTGGCAGGGATCGGACTCGAAAGAAATCCAGTGTTTGAGGGCCCAGATTCTTAGGGTAGTATCATTTTCCTTAGGCCTCCAAGATGTTTCAAGTACCTTTTCAGAAGGTATTTGGACCCTCCAAATCCTCTCCAAACAACTTCTAAGAAGGTACTTGGAACCCTAGGGCTTCACAATGTTTGATATTGAGAGTTTTGCTCCTTCTTCCTTTCCGGAGTGGCCACAACACCACCGCTCGACCGCTCGGCTCCGCATGCGGATCCACTGAGGATTTGCTCCAAGTTCCACCGGAAGGGCAAAAAGATGCCCATGTGACGGGACATTTGGTAGCTTGAAGGCGACTTGAAGGGGACCTGCAATTCCTGATGTTGCGAAGACATCAACGCAAACAGCTTGGTGGACGTCTTCCGTAGATATATTGTCGCTGAACTTTGCAACATGGTTCCAATCAGGAAACTGCCGGCAACGTCAAGTTCCAAGGCCTTTCCGCCGTTGCAAACCAGCGAAAGCACCAGTCGACCAGCCTGTTTGGCGCATCAGTCGACTTACGTTGGAAAAGAGAGCGTGCGAGAAAGAGAGAGGGAGTGGAAGAGAGCGGCATTCAAGGATTCAATGCACGCGGTAAACAGTCGAGTCATGTTTTTGTCACTTGTTGTTTTTCGATATTTTGGTTGGCGTTCTCAGCATAATGCACACAGTACCAGAACCATCCAGAACCCAGAGTAGAATAATCAAAGTCTTGTTTTGTTCTTTGTTGCGGCTTGCTCATTCCTCCGAGAAGTCAGCGGTCCAGGACGGCTTGAAGCTGGTGGCTCTCCGTCCGGGGCCCCCGTCGTGGTCTGTTCACCGACAGGTCCGTGGTTCGCAGCAGTGCTCGCACCGGTCACTCGGCTCCACTCGGCAGAGTGCGGGTTCAGTGGCCGGTCACAGGTATTGATATGTATTGATCCACCTGAGCCGCTGAGGTCGTGCAAAACTCCACCGTTGGTTCCATTTGGTTCCATTTGGTTCCTGTAATGTTCCTCTACTATTTCATGTCAGGTTCAGGACGGGGCCCAAGTGGAGTACTTCAAGAGTCCGACTTCATGGTTGATACCTCAGGTGGGCAGGCCATGCAGGATGCGGCCTCCGTGGGGAAGCAGGCCATCCCGCGGCGTGAGACATTTGACTGGATTTGGGGTTTGGGATGGTTTGGGTATAGTACTTCGCAACCAACCAGGATAGGAAAGTGGAACTTTCATCCCAACATGCTTAAGGCAGAGAGCGAAATAGCTCGACCAATTATCGCCCGCGTGTGCCGCGTAACGAGCGGGCTTCGCGGGCGTAACCCTCTGCGTTGGTCGAACTTCTCTAGATTCGACCTGTTTGGACCCTCCAAGTACTGCAGGACAAAGGACATAACAATTATGTTTTTGGGTGGAGTGAATGAACAGATCGAGAGTGACACACCATCAGCTTTTGGAGGCTGAAACTAGGAGACCTGACCTGTATGGGACTAGATCCCAAGAACATGTTGATTCACACTGATGATGAGTGAAACAAGCAGTAACAAGCTTCTCACCGCCCGTAGTAGAAAGATCCTAGTAAGCCTGCATCCCTCTTCGAAAGGCATGATAATCCTCAAGAACACCCCTTCTGGAAGGAGAAGTTTGAGGTCACTCCTTGTTCAAATCAGAACACAGCTGGGGTCTTGGGCCCAAAGGAACATTGTCCTGTGTCACTAGGTCTTATATTCCAAGACCAAACTTGGTTGACCTGGTGTTGTAGTGGTTGACCTGGTGTTGTAGTGGTTGA